AGATAGTATTTAAGAGGCTAATCATTTTACAAAGCCAATATAAAGAACATTAAATATACCTATTGAATCTTCATTCTAGTTTTAGCGATTTCAAATATCTTTATCAAAATTCAAGATTTCTGATGAAATTAAAAAAAGAGGAAGTTACAAGCCACAGATAAAAGCAAAGCTAAACACGTACCTTCTTTTAACAAAAGATAATAAAATTAAGCTTAAGGATTTGCTTGATAATAGTACGCCTAAAATAGTTGAAAAGGAATGGGATTTATCCGACAAAGATCAAGTTGTAAATCGTGATCAATTGTTTAAAGAAAATAATCTTAACCTTGATCCTGATGATGTGTAGTGTAAATGGTTAATTCGATATTTAAGTAAAACATTAGTTGTCAAACAGTGCATAAGTAGAAGTTATCGCGAAAAAGAAGTTGTATCTGGTTCTCGTATTCCAGTAGCTCGTTATCTCTATGTAGGTGTCTTGTGTTTGTTACAATTTTCTTTCGTAATAATGAAATTTGTGGCATTGCAGAATACTTAAAACATTCTGAGCAATGTGTAATTTCCCAATCGCAGCGTGATCCACCATATAGACTCTTACCATATATGAAAAAAAGCATTGAAAACTTACTAGGTCTTAATGTAAGAACTTCAGACATCATTGCTCAAAATGCCAGAATCGTAAAAAATATGTTTAGAAATCATACTTTAATCGGGAATTTCAGAATGCTGCTTACAGCAATAGATATTACAAATATTAAGAAGCAAATGCTACAGACAAGCTGGAATATAAATATCAAATATGATGCAGCAAAGAACTTGGATTAGTTGCTTGTACCAGACGCTGATCAATCTGAGCTCAAAGATGCGTATGTAATAAATTTCAAAGCCAAACTTGATTTTTTTGATAACCCTCTATAATTATTAATTATATATATATATATATTTTTTTACTATTTATTAAAGCAGATTCTTACATTATCAACCTCATACTAAAGAAACTGACTGCTTAGAAATCATTATTTGTACTTGCGAACAACAAAAATATACATGGAAGTATGATCATCAAAGCCTTATCCTTGTTGATGGAACCTTTGGAATCAGCAAACATAAATTATTTTTATTTATCATTTTAATCCTTGATGAGAATAATAGAGGCATCCCTGTTGCTTTCATTCTTTTTATACCACCAAGCATAATCGGTTAACATTCTCTGGGTATGATAGCAAGATCCTTGAACGGCTTTTCACAATTTTTCACGATAAGATTAGCAGTAATTATAATCAAAGTCAATGTCTATCTACTCTAGTTATATTTAGCTCCCTTGCTGTAATGACTAATGCTGATGTTAAAGAGCGAAAATCATTGTCAAAAGTGTGGCCAGAAATTATTTGCTTCTTTGTTTTTTTCACATTAGTCAATATTGCAAAAATAAAATTAACAAACAATTAGGTTGTGGTAAGAGTAAAGTAATTCTACTACGACAATCTCTAAAAACATTTTTAAAAAGTGTTTTAAAGGAGGCTCAGTCGATGAAT